CTCAGGACACTCACCTGCACTTCCTCTATCTCTGGGTAGTAGATCCGCTCACAAATAAGCTGGGCGATGCGGTCGCCCTTTTTCACTGTAATGGAAAGAAAAACAAGGGGTTAGATCTCGCCTTATTTAAGTCAGCACTGACATATGCATGACTTAAAAAACTACATTTACGTGAATGTTTAAAACACCTTCAAACTTCTCTTTGCCAAAGTTAAACAGCACGACACCAACGTTTCCTCTGTAATCTTCATCGATGACCCCAGCTGGAGGAAAGAAAAGCAGTGTCTTGATTTCTGCTCTCTGAACACTGGAAATATAACATTTCAAAATTGTTCTCATACAGTTCTGAATATTTTATCCTTGCAATTGATTATGTGAATCTTGCTCAGATTTACAAGACATTACTAAAACACAAATAATCTAGCAAAAGGGTCTTGGTTTTTTTCTTTCTTTTGGCAGAACCAGGGATTGAACTCAGGCCACTGTGCTTGCCAGAGAAGCGCTTATTCCACTGAGCCATCTCCCAAGCCCTGGGTCTTGGTTTTCCAGCCTGTTGCCCTTATCAAATGGTGGCCAGCTCCCTCTTTAATCCGAGCACAGCAATTACAAGTCCTAACCGATGGCACACATGCTAGAAGAGGAAACAAGGACTGGCTTCAGAGGCTTTTGCTGAGAGCAGCTTCCTGCTAATGTTCAGGTTGAAATACGACCGAGTCATACATAAAATGTCAGGACAACAGAAAGCTCTGCAGTAGAATAAATCAATGCTGACAGTGGTGGGGCATTCATACAAGTACCAGGATGTTCTGGCTCCATATCCTTCCCTTAGAGTGAGCTACAATCCTTTCTTTTCTAATCTGAGAACTCACACACTTGTAACCTCGAGTGGACTTGTCTCTTTGCAATCAGCACCTGTCGGGGATGAGGAATCTGCAAACACATGACCTGGGCCAGGCCCTGTCACAGTTCAGTCACAGTGACTAGACCTGCTGGATTCATCCTGGGACCAGGAGCTTAGCAGCGTTTCCACAGGACAGCTTACACAGTCTGCTTATTTTAACATTAAGATCAAATTCACAGAAGAGCTTAAAGTAGCTTCCGAGTTGTGCGGCCCACCAATGCTGAGATCCTGCGGCCCTAACGAGCCCTCTTCCTCCCGGGAGCCGCCCCCTCTTCCTTGGCCCGCACAACTGTATCATCTCCTGCGTCGGGTGTCTTCCCCTCAATCTGCGCAAGGCCGCCCAGCGTGCCCATGAGCTCAGGGAATCCAGCTCCCGTTCCCAGCTGACTTTCTCAGTAGTACTCGGTGCCCTAAACAGAACAACACAGCCCTTATGGCAGGGCAGAAATAAAAAGTCAAAATTCAGCTCAACAGATAAGATGACTCTAATTATAGGAAGATCAAGTAAAGGAAAACATCCTTTCTCTTAGGCAAAGGTCAGGCCAGCTGAGCCTTCCCCATTTTCTCATACAGGTAAGGAAAGAGCAAAGTCTTGGTCCCACCGTGGGGAAAAATACTCAGAAAAGAGCAGTATTTCAGGCTTTCCCAGTGGCTCACAGAAGTGTAAGTGAACTCCTGTGCTTACTGAAGGAATCACAAGGGACAAGTGAAAGAGCTTCAGCCCTCCTGAAAGGTTCCTGATGCAACACTTTAAAACAGGTACTAAAGATAAACACATTTGACTGACACACGAGTATAAAAACAGGCTGATTTTGAGACTGCTGCCCGCTGCTTGGCTAAGGTGGCACAGAGGCAGCCCAAAGGCGGCAGAGGCTGTCCCCTCACGGCTAGATTGAAGGGGCAGCCCATTCTTTTCCAGGGGGACCGCAACAAAATTGACCAAGTCAGAGATTAAACCCCCGTTTCTTTCCACAGTGCCAGCCAGCCATAACATTAGTCCTTAATACTTCTAAGGACTGACATAAAGAACAGGACTGGCCGCTCCCCACGTTATCAATACGCACAAGATTCTGACTGCAGGAATCACTGAACTGCGCCTAACCTGCTGTTCAAGTGGGAACAGACGATCACAGAAGGCCAGGAGCGCTCCATGCTGGGGGCTTCGAGGTGCAGCTCAATGACTCATCTATCCCGGTGACAAAGACAAAAGGGACCGACTGGCATAGGACACTTGTTCACACTTTGCTGCACATTTTCAAATTATCCAAATGGCATCAATATGCATAAAGCAAAAGCAGCTGTTTGCTTGACATCTGAGGCAGTCAACAACAGTACAGAGCTATTCTTTAACTTAATATCAAGCTGACCGCTTTCACGCACTTACTGTAAGATTGACATATTAGTGCTTTTCATTTTCTCAAAGATTCCAAAAGCTGCTTTCCTGGGTCAGGGTGTGCATGTTTTCCCCTTTAAAGGCTATCTGCTGGGGCCTGGCGAGACAGCTCAGTGGTCTAAAGTGCCTGCTTAGACAAGCTTAGGAAGGTGCAGTGGACCATGGCTCCATCTCCGGGCCACGCCGGCCCAGCCCTCAGGGCAAGCTAGGCCAGGCAAAAAGAGAAAAAGCTGTTGATGGGTAACTTCCCAGCCCTGTGCGTGTCCCTCAGCAGTATCCGAGGGCGCTCCTCTCCCAAATGCTTGCCGGTACAGCCGACAGCAGGCCATGCGGTATCCCTGTGCTTTTCCACAGTTTGTTCTCTTCTGTATTATGCCTATGATTTTTTTGGTCTTCTTTTTCATGAGATGCAGATATTTTAAAAAATTATGATATTTCCTACCATATAAAAGTAATCCTTTTTGTTAACGCCTTTGGCAAAGGAATCCTGTCAGGAGTACTCAAATAGTTTGGTTTCTTGATTTCTACAAGGCAGAAAGACCTGCTAAGATTTGATGCTTAGGACACAAAAATGAGAAACGCCTGTGAAGTACAACGAAGTCCTTCGGAGTTAACGAGAATGTATGACAACAAAAAGGGTCTTCAATTAGAATTTTTCTTTTTTACCATGAATGTCAACAGTATACAAAATTCAATAGTTCTAAGTTCATATTACTCAGTTGCCACCTGACTGTCAAGAAAAACCCAAAATTTACTTTCTTATGAAAGGGACAGGTCAGGTTTATTTTTCCCCAAGAGTACAAAGGATCTTGGAAATCTATGCTCAGGTACTGGCAGTGACTGACTGGCTTCCGGCTGCGATCTGCTGTGACACTTGCTGGCTGAGGAGCCGTCCACACCACCAGAAGTGCGACCCCGACCCCGCCCGGCGGCTCAGAGGGAGCCCGGCCATCCTGATGCTGCGTCTTCAGAAGCGCGAGCTGCTGCAGGCCCAACAGCCTTCCAAGATCACACCGCAGCGCTCTTCTACGAGCCCCGCCTCACCAACGGCCAGGACACAGAGTGGCCAATGGCTTGGGCTCCCCCCTCCCCAGAGTTGTTTTAAAAGATGAAAACTTAATAGCAAAGTCCTTTTAGAAAGAAATTTTCACATAGAATCTGTTGAGTCCCTAGGAGACAGAAATGATGAGCTACAGAGCTTAACCCAGCTACCCAGTGTCCCCTCAAGACATTCGCTGCCACTCAACCCTCCGGGTCCTCCTCACCTCTGCTTCAAACCACTGCCCTTGCAAGACCCCTTCCAATTCCCTTAGCAATACACACAACTGCTCATAACAATCACTTAGCGTCCAAATGGCCACTCCAGACCCGAGACAAAGCCTTGTGAACATCAAAACCTACCGAACCGGGAGCCCTCGCCCCTGCCTAGGCCTCCACAGGAAGCCCTGCTCCAAAAATTCAGCTTCCACCTGGCCCCACAGCACCACCTGGTGGCACCACGGGGACACACTAGCCCCGTCCTAAAAGCGGCTAAGGGGCAGGCAAGGCCAGGCCTCACCAGGGCCCGGCTCTGGCCCCTGCAGGGCTGGGCTCCGCCAGCTGGCCCAGGACAGTGCTCTAGGAGGGGCCATGGCACGGGCACCTCTATCGCTCCACCACAGGGCAGTTCAGTGCTTCTCCTCATGGTCCGAGAGCTTGCCTGGAGCGGCTCTGGTAGACGGTGTGAGCTCAGCAGAGCCCTCACTGCCCTGCCCGGGTGACAGTGGGCTCCTGGGGCGATGCCCTAACGCTGAGGGGGTGCCAAAGACTCCCTGGAAGACAGCCCCCGGATGGTGTGGTGCCCTCCTGTCTTGTCATCTGCTGCTCCACAGACGGCCTCTCTCACTGAGACATGAGAACTCTGTATTCTAGACATGAGAAGTTTGTATTTCTAGAACCTTTAGTATTACTTAATCACTTACGCCAACTGTAGTTTAAGATAAACAAGCAGAAGCCTTTCCTCCAACAAATCACGCTCGGCCTAAACGCAGATCATCACTGCGCCAAGGCAGAAATCCTGTCTGCCAGTCACACCCCGGCTGGCCAATTAGCAAACTAACACGCATTCCAGGTAAAAGTCATCTGAAAATTAGACACCGTCAAGCGCATCATAATTGTGCAGTACTTCAGAAATCTGATGAGGCAAGATGGAACAAAAATTCAACTCCAGAAAATAAAAATGAAATTTGTCACTGGAATTACATACTCCCCTTTAAGCAAAGACAATAGAGACTTACACCATTAAAAGTAAATACATTACCTCCGACATCTATGAAGTGTTTGGCAGCCAAGCCCGAGCGTGGAGCTGAAAAACAAAATGGAGACACTGGCTGTGTTACATGGGGATGAGCAATACTGGATGTGGCAGAGCTGATGAAAGGGGATCCCATTTCCTCGCCTAGAAATAACTTCACCTTGGTTTTAGCTGATACCTCTAAATAAAAAAAGAACAGCATCACCAAAGTTGGAAAATGTCCAGGGGTTTGTACTTTAAAACCAGGTCAAAGGACCTGAGTCACTGCAGGTCTATGACAGGGCAGTGGCAGACACGGAGGAGGCTGCAGGGAGGAATAGCAAGGCAGGCAGGCAGACAGGGGCTATGGGCATGGCTGCTCATGCAAGAGGCCCTGCCACAGCCAGGAAGAGGGCTGCAGCTGCTGGGGAGGCATGGGTCAGTGAGGGGAGATGGGGAGGGGGATGGGGAGTAGGGGAGAGGAGG